TTCAGAGCTACTTCCAAACCTGTGCCAAACCTACAACTCACCATCCATGCCTCGAAATCAGGTGCGACTTCTCGGACTCGCGCTGGACAACACGCAACCGATACGCCACCAAAGCATCCAAATCGCAAACCATTGGCCAAAGCCAATGGTTTGCAAGTCGAAACGACTGGTTTTACCCAACCAGTCGCTGGCAACTGGTTTCCGATACGAAAGCGAGAAAACATAGTTTGGTGATGAAGCAGTCATGGCGCACACGTCCGTTCACTTTGCGATCGTCCTCACTGGTGAGTATCTGATGCTCTCACTACCGTTAGTTTGAGGAGTGGAGACCTTTTGAGTCGACTCCAAAGCGATCGTCCTCGCTGGAGAGTAGTATCTGCATCGCGAAAATGGCAAGTGCCGAAAGTCACAAAAATATCACTGAAATGTGTCTTTTATGTGACAGCAAGTCCGGCGTTTATGTGTCATGGTTGAAAGTACCAGCCACGATGTGACCTACGAAGTCACATATAAGTCATGTTGATGTGACCAAATGTCATACAGAATGTCACATTGTAGTGTCTCATGAAGTGACGTTCTTCTCACATCTTAGTTGACATGCCATGTGAACGCCTCGCATCCACGTGCATTCATATATTTTGCCACGTGTCACTGTTGGTGATTGGTCAAAATAGACCAATCAAATGTCAGTGAGCCGGGTGCGAAATCAGTATTTGGTTGGCCGGCGATTTTAAACAGCGACCCACCAGGCGACGCGCTCGAAACGCAGCGTCTCCATTTAGTACGCCGAAATTTCAGAATTGCAAGAAGTAGATGACACTTTCGAATGGCTTCTTTAGTCATACGTGCATAAATGGATGTACGAACTAGAGATACTGCACAAGTGTGCGAACTACAGATACTATAGAGGTGTACGAACAACAGCTACTCCACAGGTGTGTGAAATAAAGCCACCTGCACAACGTCTAGCTACGGAAACCGTGGTTTGCCAGACAGTCATCGGACTGTATGGTCGTACTACGGGACACGTTGAAATCTGCACACAACAAAACTGAGACCTCAACCTGCAAATAAGAAAAATAAAAAAACGTGATAGAACCTCAATGTCATAGCGAGCATAACCGCTCTATGTAGTGACCGCTATTCTTAAAACAAATATCATACCTCCAGGTCATCCGAATGCACGAATCAGCCAGCAGCGAACCCCCATCAGCCGTGGCGGTACTTTTGAACACCGCGATCTGCACGACGCAAAATAGATCGATAAGCCATGAAACTAGACATTACACCTTTCACAAAATACACGCAGCCAACAAGCTCTGGGTACGAACAACTGGACTCTACGGACTCATCCGAAGGTAGAGCTGAGAGCGAGTGGCGAGTAGACAAAGGATTGGCCTGAGGCGAGGAGTACGTGAAGCCGAAGCGCTGAAGGACCTGCTGCACCATGTGTGACTGAGTCACGGTGATGGTGCGCTGTGCTCTGTCCCGAGTGATCTGCAAGCCAAGGTAGCTACGCAGTTCACCCAGGTCAGTGCACGTGTGTCTCTTCTGCAGATCGGACTTCACGTAGGTGAGTCCAGCAGTGTCAGCTATGGCAAAGACCAAGTCGTCGACGTACACGAGGATGTAGAAGGGCGGCAAAGAGGTGTCGGTGCGCAGAAGCAGCGACGGGTCGGCAGTAGAAGGAGCAAACCCAAGAGCCGCAAGTGTAGTCCTCAGTGTGTCGTGCCACTCACGAGGTGCTTGGCGAAGACCGTAGACTGGCCGTCGGAGGCTCCACTGGGTGCCAGGAGGAAAAGACCCAGTGAAGCCAGGTGGGCGGCGCAGCCAGATCTCCTCGTGCTAGGCTGCCATGTAGGAAAGCAGTGCTGAAGTCAAGAGAGTGCAGCTCGTAGTCACGCTGAAGCGGCTATGTGCAACAGCACCCGAAGAGTGGTCATCTTCGGGGTGGGAGAGAAGGTCTGAAAGTAGTCAACTCCCTGCCGCTGACTGAAGCCACGAGCCACGTACTGCGCCTTGAAGACAGGCGGAGAACCCGGCGGCCGCTTCACCCTGAAGATCCACATGCCACTGACGATGTTCGCCCCAGGAGGGGGAACCTCGTCGACATAAGTGCCTATGGACTTCCAGGAAGCCATCTCTGCATCCATGGCTGCCTGCCACTGAGAGGAGTAGGGACCCTCTATCGCCTCCGCGTAAGAGCGCGGAGTCGGGATGTCTGGTGCATCCAGGTCTCCCTCAGGGGCAAGCAGCATGGACACGAGATGAGGTGAAGAAGCAGCAAAGCACTGGAAATCCTCCTGCCTGTCCTCAAGGACGTCCGTGCCAAGGGCACACTCTCCCCCGAGAGACGGAGGACAGGCAGACTCAGATTCAGCGACAAGACTAGCAGCGTAGTCTAGACGACAGCGAGCAGCGAAGTCGACAAGCTCAGCAACTAAGGCAGACGCAGCAGTGGACTCTAAGGAAGGGTCAGTGACGACAGTAGCAAGGAGACGCGTGACAGTAGGATTGGCAGTACGAAGGGAGTCCGACTCCGGGTCAGCAAGAGCACGAAGAGAGGACTCAGAAGGAGAAGGCAAAGGGGCACGCAGTGGAGCAGTAGAAGGACGTAGAGACATCCGGTGCGTGCCGGGGACAGGGGGAGGACGCTGACGCGAACCACGACGACTAGTGTGAGCAGCACGAACAGGCGACGCAGGACGAGACGCAGGCTCACGACGCTCAGGAAGACCTCCAGTAGGACCAGTGTAGGGAGAAGGAGCAGGCAGTGGAGAGGCTGGCTGTAACTGTGACTCGGACTGGACAGCCGGCGGACACTCTAAGGGAGGAGTAGGATCAAGAAACTGGCGAAGGAGCAGAACGAAGTACGGCCACGGCCGCGCAGCTACACCAGAACCAGCAGGAACAGCACCAGCACCCCCAGCAGCAGCACCCGCACCAAGAGAACCACCAGCTCCAGCAGCGCGAACTCCAGCACCTCCAGTACCCTCAGAAGCACTAGCGCCAGCAGTACCTCAAGTGCCAACAGCCCTAGCACCTCCAGCACCAGCTCCAGTAGCAGAAGCACCCGCAAGCCCAGCAGCTCCAGGACTCTCAAGACGAGCACCTCCGGGACCCGCGGCACCAGCACCCTCAGCAGCAGTAGAAACTCCACCTCCAGCAGCACCTCCAGCTCCAGCAGTACGGCTCCAGCGCCGAGCAAACCACTCGCGCAGCTCCTGTGGAGAGAGGAGCTCCCGCCGGGACAAAGCTCCTAAAAGAACTCCAGGTCCAGTCCCGCCAGAGGCCACACGAGTAGGCGCAGCACCCCCAGGCTCCGCACCCCCAGGCTCCGCACCCCCAGGCTCAGCACCCCCAGGCTCAGCACCCCCAGAGTCAGCACCCCCAGGCTCAGCACCCCCAGAGTCAGCACCCCCAGGCTTAGCACCCCCAGACCCCGCACCCGCAGGCTCAGCACCCCCAGAGTCAGCACCCCCAGGCTTAGCACCCCCAGACCCCTGCACCCGCAGGCTCAGCACCCCCAAACCCTGCACCCGCAGGCTCAGCACCCCTAGCAGCACCAGAGTCAACCGCTACCTCGACAGGCTCGACTGCGTCTACCTGGGACACACTTGAGGGGGCAGGACCCTGAGGGGGAAGGGGGACTACCGGGTGGGGACCTGGAGCGAGGAAGAGCGGCGGCGGGGGGAGGGACGCAGTGCGGTAGGGGAAGAGACGGTAGTAGGGAACCGACTTGTCGAATGTGACGTCCTGAGAGGACAGAACACGGCACGAGGTGGGGTGGTAGAACTGCCAACCAGGCGCGTCAGGGGGGAAGCCAAGGAAGACGCAGGGAACAGCACGGGGGGACAGCTTGTCCGCAAACAAGTCGCGCACAAACGCCCTAGATCCCCAGACACGGAACACAGATGCATCGCCAACCTTCCCCGTCCAACGTAGAGTAGGGGAGGTCTCCGGCATGGAGACCCTGGGCTGAAGGTTGATCTGATGCGCCGCGTACTGAACCGCGAACGGCCACAGAAAATGGGGGGCAGCCGCGTGGACCATGGATGTACAAGCTACGTCCATGACCGTGCCAATGCGGCGCTCAGCAATCCCATTTTTCTGTGGAGAGGCCGGAAGCGTGAACGTCTGGCGGATTCCTCGTGCACGACAGAAGGCTCGCAGAAGGTCGGAGGAGAACTCTCCGCCTCTGTCGGAGTGCATACGGAGAACAGGAAAGTTCGAGCCGAAACTCTCTCTGAGCTAGAGACGAGCTGCGCGGATCCAGTCGATCAACACCGCAGTGACCTCACCCTTGCTGCGCAAGGGGAAGACTGTGGTGTAACGCGAGTAGTCGCCAACCACCAGCAGGAAGTAACGCTCGTGACCCTGGCCAGAGACGCGGGCTGGGCCCCAGACGTCCATATGCAGCGTCTGCAGCGGAGCCTCTGTCGGAGGAAACTCAGAGGAGTGAGGAGCAGCGTGCTGCCGCCCCTCGACGCAGGGGACGCAGGTAGGGGCAGGCCCCAGAGGAAGAGGAGGGAGGGACCGGGGGAGACCAGAGACAAGGACATGGGAGGCCATGCCTCGGAGACTGAGGCAGGGAGGGGTGACCAAGGCGGTGGTGCCAGAGGAGAGTCTGGTGAGACAGGAGACGGCACGAGCAGGGGGCAGATGTAGGACCAGACCGGGACGCTGCAGCAAAAACCTGACCCAACGCAGCTACCTGACCAGACGCAGTAACCCGGGGAGACCCGGTAGTTAGTGTGTACAGGCTCGACCCGGGCCGACGGGTAAATGTGGCCAAGTGTCGGCCACTCACCAAGTTCGTAGAGAACGAGGGGAGGTAAAGACCTGACAGGGTGCCTGAGGGGGCCGCCAGACACGGTAAGACAGTGGAGAAGTGGGCATGGACAGGACCCCCAGAGGGGTCTGCCAGGGAGACCGCCACTGGCCGACTGAGCGGCGTGCGTGTGGTGCGGTCTCGAAAGAAGGAGCGGGAAGCACCCGAGTCAAGGGTGAAGGTGTGAGAGGCCATGAGCCGACGTGGTACCTGAGAGAGCAGACTCACCAGCACCTGGGGCAGCGGACTCACTAGCACCTAGAGCAGCGGCCTCACCAGCACCTAGAGCAGCAGCCACACCTGGCACCTAGAGTAGCAGTCCTAATGCCCGGGTCAGGCGGAACACATAAGTAACAGTCACCCTCATCACTAGTAGACACAGCATACATGGCAGCAAGAATAGCATCAAAGTCAAGATCAAAGGTAGCAACACCCGCCCTAGACAGCTCGCACCAGCGAGGGATCTCCGTGGCGTCAGGGAACTGATGACGCCAAGCGTCCGTCAGGCGGCCGAAGCAGCGCAGGGTGGGGTGCGGGCCCCCGCACTGGTCACCAGTGCGGTCGCCAGTACGGAGGACGTAGGTACAGGGACCAGCGCCCCCACCCCGCTGACGCCGAGCGTACCACTCACGAAGCTGCTGGGGGGACGGGGTCTCACGAGTGCGCTGCTGCTGCTGGCGCTGACCACCACTGGAGCCACCCCTCTGCGTAGTGCCGCAACCAGCTCCACCGCCGCCGCCGCCACCTCCGCCGCCTCCTCCACCTCCGCCTCCTCCGCCTCCGCCTCCTCCGCTCCCACCACCACCGCCTCCGCCTCCTCTGCCTCCACTGCTGCCACCAACGCCTCCACCCCCGCCACCACTCCCACCACCACCCCCACCCCCTCCACCGCCTCCACCGCCACCTCCACCGCCCCCGCCATCTCCTCCAGCGCCCTTGCCCCCTTTGCCCTTGCCGGTGCGGCGTATCCCGCTAGGGGCAGACGCGGCTCCGGCCGCCTCGAGGCCAACGAGGTCGGCCGCAACAGCAGAGGCAACAGAGGGCAAGAGGGGGGAGGGGGAACACCCCTCAAAGACAGGGGTGCGAGGGTCACCACGAGAGGCTCCTACAGCGACTATACTCTTCTCTGCTGCCAGGAGGCGCTCCTCGAGGAGGTCAACGGTGAGTGTGGTGGGGCAAACTGAGAGGAAGTGGTCCCTGACTAAGCGAAGGGAGTCAGGGAGCCGGGTGACTATGTAGTAGAGGGTGATGTACATGTGGGGGGGGGGGGGGGGTTCTTGGCGCAGAACTCAGCAGGAAGCGCAGCGCGGTAGCGAGTGTCACTAGTGCGAAGGTGCATAATGAGGTCGGCGACTGTGGGGAAGGCATCGAGGACAGGGAACAGGTACGGCAGTATGAGGCTGCTAAGAGCAGCAGTAGCAGGAGAAGAGTAACGTGCAACTACAGCATCGTACAAGGTCTTAGCACTCTTGTACTGACTATAGTGCGCACGCTCAGCGGTCGGTAAGTGGCGACGCACAGCAAGACGGGCATTAGCATCGCGTGTGGCCCACTGTGAGCGAACTAGTGCTGTCAGCATCAGCAGGCGGGGCAGGAGAGGCACCAGACGTAAGATCGAAAAGGGAGAGACCGTCTGCCCTATCACACTGTAAGTCATCGACCCAGACCTCAAAGTCAACAGCCCGACCCTCAGCATCAAAGGTAAGGACACTGGGGGTAGCCATGACAGCAGCAGTCTAGTGGTGAGAGCGGCAGGCTTGTGGTAGTGCAGTGGCAGAGACGCTGCTCGGGAAAGCTCTCACCAGTCCGGGTAGGGAGGCCCGGGGCGTGCCGGCATGAACAGGGCCGCAGGTGCGGCGGCGGAGGCTCGGCGGCCCAGCAGCGGCTCGACGGCTTGGCGGCGGCTCGGCGGCGGCTCGGCGGCGGCTCGGCGGCTCGGTGGCGGCTCGACGGCGGCCCGGCGGCTCTGCGGCGGCTAGGCGGCTCGATGGCGGCTCGGTGGCTCGGCAGCAGCTGCGACGGTCCAGCGACGGTGGCGGCAGGGCCGCTGTAGGGCGGCGACGGGGCCGATGGAGGGCGGCGACGGGGCCGCGTAAGGACGGCGGCGGGGCCGCTAGAGGGCGGCGACGGGGCCGCGGAAGGACGGCGGCGGGGCCGCTAGAGGGCGGTGACGAGGCCGCGATAGGGCAGCGACGGGGCCGCAATAGGGCGGCGGCGGGGCCGCTAGAGGGCGGCGACGGGGCCGCGGAAGGGCGGCGACGGGGCCGCTGAGGGGTGGCGGTGGGGCCGCTAGAGGGCGGCGACGGGGCCGCTGAAGGGTGGCGGCGGGGCCGCTAGAGGGCGGCGACGGGGCCGCGGAAGGGCGGCGACGGGGCCGCTGAGGGGTGGCGGTGGGGCCGCTAGAGGGCGGCGCCGGGGCCGCTGAAGGGTGGCGGCGGGGCCGCTAGAGGGCGGCGACGGGGCCGCGGGAGGGCGGCGACGGAGCCGCGATAGGGCGGCGGTGGGGTCGCTAGAGGGCGGCGACGGGGCCGCAGTAGGGCGGCGACGGGGCCGCTGAAGGGCGGTGACGCGGCCGCGAAGGGCGGCGGGTGGGCCGCGGAGGCGGCGACGGGGCCGCGAGAGGGAGGCCGGGCCGCAAGGGGCGGCAACGGGGCCGCTAGGGGCGGCGCGACGGGGCCGTGAGTGGGGCCGCTAAGGGCGGCGCGACGAGCCGCTAAGGGGAGGGCGGCCCAAAGGGCGCGCCTCGGTCAGGGGCGACTCGGTCGCAGGGCGGAAAAAAAAAAATTAGTGGTGGGCCTAAGTAAAAGTTCCCACTAGGGAACCTGCTCTGATTCCATGAGAAGAAATGAGGAATTAATGATGAACTAGGAAATCAATTGGGTACAAATATGAAACCCTAGAAAACTGTACCCTACTACAGCCTAGAAAGACTATAGCATATAATTTCGACAATGCCCTCACAATTACTAGTAGCCTGTCTCATTCCCTCCAACCCCCCTTCTCGCCCTCTCTTCGTGCAGCTCGTCTACCTATCAATCGTTTACTTTCACCTCGAGCGTTGCGGGCATACCTATCGGCAAGTCAGCAACGGTCACGGCTGCCGGTTTCTATAGGGTCAGCACGGGAGCCCTCGTGAAGGCCATTCCCTGCACGGCCAAAGCGGACACAGCAACGGGCACTTGGAGCTGCAACGGGAATGGTGGCGCACAGCTCACATCGGCTTATGTGCCTATCGACCCGATCTCAGCGTTAGTAAGCGCTGGGGTGTTCGCGTCTCCCTCGAGCTTTTTTTTTCGGTTAAAGTTGATGGCGTGGAGGTGAAGGGGAATGTTGTAGCATCGATTGGTCAGTACTACTTAGGGCGCGTGTCCTTATACTGTATATTGCAAAAGTCGTATTTTTAGTTGAACTTCTAGCATTTGATCCTAGGTCGACCTAGAGTCAACGAAATCGACTTTTGTGACCAGGCCCTCAGAAGTCAGACTTTTTTCTCTGAGTTGGACTTTTTTCTCTGATATTTCAGATTTTTTTTCCTGTGTACTCTGATAAAATCAGACTTTTTTGGGCCTCAACTCTGTAATTTTCAGACTTTTTTTAAGGCTAACTCTGAGAGTTCAGAGTTTTCTAAGAGTGTACTCTGATAATTCAGAGTACAAACGCGTCCTTGACTGGTGATTCGGACTTCGGGTCACAGCAGATTTGCACTGACACAGCAAATCCGAGTCTTACAGCACTAGATTTTCGGCCAATCATAGGAAAATCGCCCTGACACAACAGATTTGCGCTGTCAAAGTACAACAATCTTCGCCCAATCACAGCAAAATTGCCTTGACATTGCAGATTCGCACTGACACATACCGTATATTCACCCTGTCAGAGCATGTTTCGATAGCAGATGAATGAAACATTGAATACACTTCTGATGAAACATTGAGTACATTGATTTTGAATGATCTGACTTTTGTTTTTAAGACACTCTGAAATTTCAGCCTTTTTTTTAAACCAACTCTGAGATTTTCATAATAGAACGGTGTACTAGTCTGACGAATCTGAGGGCCTGTTTGTGACCCGAGTCGCTGCTCCTCGCGTCACATGAATCATATGGCACACAAAAGTTCGACTGTCGAAGTTGAACTTCTAACGGTTACCAAAGAGTCGCGACGGTTACCGAGTGTTTTCGCTGTTGGGCTGATAAAGGCCCTTAGGATCTCTACAGGACTAAACTCTGGGTAAGAATAATGTAATAGCGGAAGCGTTTAATGATAAGTTTTGAACCACCTTGCGCTGGTATGTGAGGGCAAAGTAGATTGATTAGAATAAGGAAGTACAAGGTTTTTATAAGAGTACAAGGAATACGAAGAGATACAACTAATAACTGTTTTACTGTTGCTGTTGCGGTTCGATACAGTGACGACTCGGGCAAGCTGCTCAATAACGAGTCAGTTGTTTGTCCTTGCTGTCGCGCTGTATTTGTCAGGTCAAAGGTCGCTGACCTTTGACTTTCACGTAACTTCCGGCAGTTGCTTTTCTTCTCAACCTCCAAGTGTTGACTGCTGATGCTCCGTTATGCTTCGCCTCGTTTATGACTTAGTGTTTCGACACACAACAGAAGTGCTTAAATTACTTGTTTCCAACATTCGCGACGCCGGAAACCTGATTCGCAGCAACCCTGGTTCACACGTTGTGTTCTGTAACTGTCGCCAGTTTCGCAGTTTCATCGTGCATGGTCCGAAGGACACACGAGTGACTTTTCGAGCACGCATGGTTTGTGCCGAAAGCTCGACCCGGGTTTAGTGCCATACTTCTTCAACAGATTTTGTAGTAGGACACACGATTTTCTCGCGAAATGATCGGCGACATTCACGAAGACGGTTACCACCAAAAGTTCAACTATTTTCCCGAACTTCTACACCAAAAGACACACGCCCTTACAGTAGAGGCGCCTCTCTTGCATCCGTACGTACAGCTGGCTTGGGGGTTTGGCTACCGGTAGATCCAGTGGATTGCTAGATAAGCTGCTCTCACATATTGCCGCTGGGTTTCTGTATTTTCATTGGACTTGCTGCTTGTATGTTCTTTCAGTTAGTGTAATGTACGGTAATCCAATGTTTGCATAATGAAAGTTTTCCTGTAGATACTGTACGCCAGTAAACTCAGTACAATTTCCTGAAGCCACTTCCCTGGCCTCAGCATCACCACCCTGTACCTCTCTTCCCCCCTTCTGAAGCACTCCAACTGTAGCAGCCACACTGCGTGAGGGAATGGGGATAGGGGACGGAGGCCCAAAAGAGTGGGCAGAAAAGTTGATGGAGATCAAGGAGCCTTGATGTTGATTATTCAAAATTTGTACACCGTTAGGTAGTCAATAGCGTTGCCTCTTGAACAAAATTTTGTTAAAAAACACCTACAGTATCAGTGATGGGGGTACCACACTCTAATATAGACGGTCTTTTATTCCAGGACCACCGCACTACGTGCTATCACAGCTCCGCACCTGTCCCAATCACTGCCTGTGTGCCATCCTTGCGACTCTAGCTCCTGTCCCTGGACAACCCCTCAACAACACCCCCCCTCTCGCGCCCCACCACCAGCTCCTGCCATATGGCCCTCAGGTGCTGTGCTTGTCATCCTCCTCTCCACGCTCCTTATGCTTTCTCCCCGTCCCGTCTTTGCTCCTTCTCCCCCCTCTCCTCTCCTTGCTCCTGCACTGTATGCTGCTTGCCCCCACCCCCTACCCCACCACCCTCCTTCCCCCCATCCTCCAACCCCCCAGCCGCCTCTCCTGTACCCACCTCCGTGAGAAGCTGCCTCACTGCAGAGGGGGGTGGGGGTACGGGGGGGCCGGCAGATGTGGACAGGGTGGCACTGGTAGGAGGGGGAGCGACTGGAGCTGCAGCAGCGGAAGCTGCAGGACCGGCAGCAGCAGCAGTGGTGGCAGCCGCAGTTGTAGCAGCCGCAGTTGTAGCAGCCGCAGTTGTAGCAGCCGCAGTTGTAGCAGCCTCAGTGGCTGTTGGAGGGGCAGCAGAGCGTGCTCGGTTGGCCTGACGTGCCCCCACCTCCTCCAGAAATCGCACCAATGGCAGGCTGCCACATCGGCGAGCCTCATCCAATGGGGTGCTTCCCCACCTGCCAGGAGGTTGGTTCAGGACAAAGGAGAGGCAGCAAGGGAAGAATGGGAAGCTATGTTGGAAAATACGCGACTCACGTACCAGTCGCGTACGTACTATCCGCTCACGTACGTACGTGAGACGGGCGAATTCAGGCCCAGGATACGCTCGAAATACGGTCGTCCGGGCAGGGGAAAAAAGTTCCCGGGCAGGGTAAAAAAGTATGGGGTGGGGAGTCACGTTGCCTATGTTCATTGTGACCTTGTGCAGATTGGTTTTCCCCCACATATGAAACTTTTTTTTCCCCATTACAAACATGCATTGCAAGTACACACATACTAGCAACTACTTGACGATACATCCCCTACCTCCCCTACTCCCCTACTCACATTCTTTCTCCACGTACTCATCGGCCAGCACGCCTTCATCCCCCTCCTCCTCCTCCTCCTTGTTGTATCCCTCCGGCAGAGCGGGTTCAGGTGTGTTGCCCGGAAGCACCGACAGTGACTCACCCATCTTGTGGTACTTGTGGACCACACGCCAGTTGTGGGTCACAAAGACGAGGTCTCGGAGCTTCTCCGAGCCTAGCCTGTTGCGGCGGGCAGTGTGCACCGATTCGAACGATGCCCACACGGCGACGCCGACACCGGCTGTGTCAGGGCACGGCACGCAAGGCTGGCCAGGTGGGGGTGGTCAGTCCCGTGCCAACCCCACCACGCCACCATCGACTGCTTGCCTGCCTTCACGGCCTCCCTGTCGGCAATTGCCTCAGGAAGGCCGAAGGAACCTTCAAGGGTGAGGAAGGCCGTGAGCCCCTCCTGCAAAACAAGTGAGGCACGCCTCTCCTCACCGTCCTTGTTGGTGAACGTCTTACCGTCGTAGTGGCGTGCGATGAAGGCCTTGAAGATGCGCGTACATTCCATGTCATTGCGGAAAATACCCTCTTCCTGGTTTGCCGGGTTGAGGATCCGCCCCACGACGTGAAGAGCGCATGCAAGGCTCTCGTCCCAATGGCGCCTTACAATCTTCCCAATGTCAGTCGCAACCGCCCGCGGCAGAATCTTCTCCCCCGCTTCCAGCTTGTCGTTCACGTCCTCGGTCAGCTGGAGCATTAGGTCGTAGATAGTCCCCATCATCCCTTTGGCGCTGCTGTCCGTGGCCCGCATCACCTTGAATGGAATCGCCAAGAGCTCCGCCAGGTAGGTAGCGTTCTTCCACCATGCATCGTCCATGATTTGGCCGCGGAACGTATCCGCCGTCTGCTTCCTAGCCCCCGCCGACCAGTTGGCGAACTCCTCGCTCAGCACCATCTGCGACAGCGTGGACCGCAGCTCGACGAGCCTAGAGAGGGCGATGTAGTTGGTGCCGAACCTGGTCCCCGCCGGCTTCACAAGCTGCTTCCCCTTTCCTTTCTTCACCTTCTTACTCCTCAGGTGGTTGCGGGTGAAATGGTGGTTGCGGACGTAGGTGATCGTGTCTCCGCACAGATCCACAATGTCTTTGCACCACGAGATCTTGCCCACGTCCTCCATCAGGAGGTCAAGCACGTGCGTAGCGCACGGCACGTACTCGATATGGGGCCAATCCGCCATCAGCTCCTTGCAGGCGGCCCCGTAGTTGGAGCCTCCGTCCATGCAAAGAGCGACTACGTTTTCGGGCCCCACTTTCTCGATGATGGGGCGGAGGATAGACGCGATGTAGCCGCCGGTTTTGGACTCCATGTTGCAGTCGATAGCCTCAACGAACACCGCTCCCGAATCGTTGACCAGCATGACGTTCGCCTGCGGCCTCCCGCACCGATCAGTCATCAAGTCGGAGGAGACGGTGACGCCATCCCTCTTCCAGCTCGCGGCGATTGGCTGAAGTCCCATTTCGATGCTCGTGCGGCATTGCTTCAGCCCAGCTCCTCCCACGTACTTCCGTCGCGGCGCGACGTAACCGTGGGGTGCGTTGTTAATGGCGCTGACCATGTTGCGCCACAACGGGTTGTCGGCGTGGTGTTCGGGAATCCGACAGCCGGCGAAGAACAAACAGACGGCGTAGTCCGCCTCGCCCTTCTTGCATTGCGCGCCATCGCCAATGAAGTCGGCGATGCGTCCTCTCTTCGCACCTCCCGCGACAGCATTGAGCGCAGCATCCTCGGCCCGCCGTTTTTCGTCGCGGTTGGACGCCTTGTTCTCGTAATGCGCGCGCACCGCCGCTCGCACGTCAGGCGAAACCTTAGCGCACAGGCGGACGTCGCGAGAGCGCTGTCCCTTCCATTTCGCGAGATGCTGAGCGCATCGAAACGCACCACCCTTGAACTCGATGGCGCAATACTTGGAAACGCGGACAGTCCCGATTGTGTCGGGACGGACAGGAACCTTGAAATGCTTGAAAACGACATGAGTACTATCCTCCTCCAGCCATTGCGCCTCCGAGGTCGAGGCTGAAGGATCAGTAGACTGAGTGGACGGAACAGAAGGCTGACTGGGGTCAGAAGGGACTGGAGTAGACATAGCTCAACACTGAACAGTAATGACAACTGGATGAGACATGTGTTGAGGTGGGGTCAATTATACTTACCACGCATTGGTTGTGGGGTGGGGGACGTGCCGTGGTTGGTCACGAGGTGTTGGGGGTGATTGGGCGCAATATTGATGTTCGTGGGGTGAACGTGGCGATTCGGTTTTGCACGTCCTTTGGTTGGAAAAACGCGTCCCGAAATGTCGGTATACGTGCGTACGGAAAAAGCGCGAACTTTTGTTTTTTGTTTTTTTTTTTTGGCCTGCCTGGAGTTCCGTATCGCGTATTTGTCCCCGTTTCACGTTTTCGCGTTGATACGTGCACGCATATACGTGAAACGTAAAATTTCAAAAACGTATAGTGCAACATAGATGGGAAGGAGTGGTCATACAGGGGAGACATGGAGAGACATGGAGGGATAAGGAGAGACATGGAGAGACATGGAGAGACATGAAGAAGAGGGAAAAGCATGGCAAAGGATGCGGAGACATGGAGAGAGGAGGCTAGCCCGCAGCCTTGCCTTGCCTTGCACATGCATCACCTTGAGAATCCAACTGCACAGAATAAATGCAGCCCTCGCGCACCTATCACGGGCTGCCACGTCAGCGTGGTGGTCGACGAGTAGGCGGGCAACGTGCAGGTGGCCTTTGATGGCAGCGATGTGCAGCGGGGAGCGCTGGTCGTAGTCACTCGCGTTGGGATGCACCCCGTGGGACAGCAGACGTTGAAGCAAATCTGTGTCCGCTGCTGCTACCGCTGCACACAGCACTGGCCCTGCCTCCTGTGGTTGGGTGCAGAGATAGAGAAGGAGGAGAGGAGAGAGAGGGAGAGAGGCACAAGTGAGAGAGTCACACGATCGGATGGGAGCAGACGGCCCTCAACATGTAGGCGGGCAACGTGCAGGTGGCCCTTGATGGCGGCGATGTGCAGCGGGGAGTGCTGGTCGTAGTCACTCGCGCTGGGATGCACCCCGTGGGACAGCAGGCACTGTAGGAGGTCCAACTACGCTGCTGCCACCGCTGCACACAGCACTGGCCCTGCCTCCTGTGGGTGGGTGAGAGAGAAGGGCAGACAGAGAAGGTAGCGAGGCAGGAGAAAGAGAGGCATATGGACGAATGGATGAATGGATGGCCATTTCAAGGCGCTTCAGCATGCCCCGTGCAACAGCAAGCACTGCAGCAGCGCTGGGTTGGGTGCTGCCATGGCCACGCACAGCCTCCTCTGTGTGTGGTAGCATGCAGATCCACACAAGAGAGAACCAGCCAAGACAGTTCTCGCACCTGCAGCCCCGCGGTGCCTCCTTTGCTGGCAAGGAGAGCAGCAGTCTCATCGTGGCCCGCCCGCAGCGCCTCGAGCAGCGGCGTGGAGGGCGTGGAGCAGCGGCGTGGAGGGCGCTCACCTGCGCGCCCTCCAGCAGCAGCAGCCTTCAAGCACGCACCTGCAATCCCACGGTGCCCCCTTTGCTGGCGAGGATGGCGGCCGCCTCATCATGGCCCGCTCGCAGTGCCTCCAGGAGAGGTGTGGTGCCAAAGTTGTCTACTGCGTTCACCTGCGCGCCCTCCAGCAGCAGCAGCCGCACCAAGTCGTTGTGCCCCCCCGCTGCTGCCAGGTGCTGTGAGGGGGGGGAGGTGGGGAGGGAGGGGAAGGCCGCAGGAAGGAATGGAGGGAGGGAGGGAGGGAGGGAGGGAGGGAGGGAGGGAGGGAGGGAGGGAGGGAGGGAGGGAGGGAGGGAGGGAGGGAGGGAGGGAGGGAGGGAGGGAGGGAGGGAGGGAGGGAGGGAGGGAGGGAGGGAGGGAGGGAGGGAGGAGGGAGGGAGGGAGAGGAGGGAGGGAGGGAGGGAGGGAGGGAGGGAGGGAGGGAGGGAGGGAGGGAGGGAGGGAGGGAGGGAGGGAGGGAGGGAGGGAGGGAGGGAGGGAGGGAGGGAGGGAGGGAGGAGGGAGGGAGGGAGGGAGGAGGGAGGGAGGGAGGGAGGGAGGGAGGGAGGGAGGGAGGGAGGAGGGAGGGAGGGAGGGAGGGAGGGAGGGAGGGAGGGAGGGAGGGAGGGAGGGAGGGAGGGAGGGAGGGAGGGAGGGAGGAGGGAGGGAGGGAGGGAGGGAGGGAGGGAGGGAGGGAGGGAGGGAGGGAGGGAGGGAGGGAGGGAGGGAGGGAGGGAGGGAGGGAGGGAGGGAGGGAGGGAGGGAGGGAGGGAGGGAGGGAGGGAGGGAGGGAGGGAGGGAGGGAGGGAGGGAGGGAGGGAGGGAGGGAGGGAGGGAGGGAGGGAGGGAGGGAGGAGGGAGGGAGGGAGGGAGGGAGGGAGGGAGGGAGGGAGGGAGGGAGGAGGGAGGGAGGGAGGGAGGGAGGGAGGGAGGGAGGGAGGAGGGAGGGAGGGAGGGAGGGAGGGAGGGAGGGAGGGAGGGAGGGAGGGAGGGAGGGAGGAGGGAGGGAGGGAGGGAGGGAGGGAGGGAGGGAGGGAGGGAGGGAGGGAGGGAGGGAGGGAGGGAGGGAGGGAGGGAGGGAGAGTGGGAGGGAGGGAGGGAGGGAGGGAGGGAGGGAGGGAGGGAGGGAGGGAGGGAGGGAGGGAGGGAGGGAGGGAGGGAGGGAGGGAGGGGGGAGGGAGGAGAGGAGGGAAGGAGAGGGGGAGGGAGGGTATTCTCCTCTCATGCACAAGTACACAAGTAGCGGAATCGAACACAAGAGCGGTGTGCGGCCATCGCAAACCCATTACACACCTGGCCTAACCTGAGCCCATCTCACTACCCTACCAGCGGCGTGCGGCCGTCGTAGTCAGCCCTGTCCGCCTTGGCCCCCGCGGCCAGCAGCTGCTGCAGCTGGGCCATGTCGCCCGTCCACGCGGCATAGATGGTGCTCACTGTCAGATCCGCCTCCTGTGCCGCCACCAGCGCCTCGATCTCCGCCGCCAGCCCCTCAAACTTGCTGCCCGCCTCCTCCGACCGCTGTGTGTGACGTGATATGTGAGGGAAGGGTGCAATGAGATAAGAGCGGGAAGGGTGCGATGAAATGGGAGTGGACTCATAGGGTGTGGTATATAGTTTCATCTAATAAGCGTGTGCACTTATCTAGCCCAACCTAATAAGGGCACACACTTAACTAGCCCTAATATGTGTTAGAAATAGGCTGTCAACACTTCTACTATATTCTAAATCGCGTAGGTTATTTGCGGGTTGGGTGTAGTTTGTGATCCCAACCCTATCTGGTTGGGATTCCCTTGTAATCCTGCAAATCTGCCAACTCACCAATTGGAGATTTGCTAGGATTCCCATCCCATCCTTTCCCTAGCTTTGCTCAACCCAACCTTGTTTGTACTTAAGGCCTAGTGCCTTCTCTACTAATCAACCAGTTCAGCTCCTTTTCTATCATGGTACCGAGCTAGTAAATTCCGCTCACGCAGAATCCGATCCTTGGCGTCGTGATAGTTCTCTTCATTTCTTCTACAACTCTTCCGGTTTTCGGCTCCTACGCCTAGCGTTTTCCGACTTCACGTCTTCGAGCCGTTCAAGAGCGCATTCACATTCCGTCTTCGTGCACTTCCGATTTCAACGGCGATTCCTTCTCTTCCACGTCTTTCATCGAAAGCTTCTGTCGGGAAATTTCTCGTCTTTTCCGATTTCTTAACTTCGAACAGGTTTTCAGTGGCGCAGCAAAACAGGTTTTCAGCGGCGCAGCAAAACAGGTTTTCAGCGGCGCAGCAAAACAGGTTTTCAGCGGCGCAGCAGAACAGGTTTCCAGCGGCGCAGCAGAACAGGTTTCAGTGGCGCAGCAAAACAGGTTTCAGCGGCGCAGCAAAACAGGTTTCAGCGGCGCAGCAGAACAGGTTTCAGCGGTGCAGCAGAACAGGTCAGCGGCGCAGCGGAACAGGTTCAGCGGCGCAGCAGAACAGGTCAGCGGCGCAGCGGAACAGGTTCAGCGGCGCAGCAGAGAAGCGGTTTTTGGGCAGCGGCGAAGCAGAGTAGGGGACATCGGCGAAGCAGAGCAGCAGACCAGAATCCGGGCTTTGTATTACCGAAATCGCTCTGCTATGTATCGGAGACTTTAGCGCTGCGCTCCGCGCGAAATGGCGACTTCAACATCCCCCCTCGTCGGAAATCTCATCGTTCTCAATTTTGCTTCCAACGGCATGAGCACCAACTTTGGGGAATGGTGCTATGGAGTGGAGAAGCACCTTCTTAGCACGGAGCTAAAGGGGATTTGCCTCAAGGACATCCTCCTCAACCGCGGCAAGGAAGAATGCCTCTCAATCCCAATCCTCTTGGCGAACTAGCCACTACTGCAGAGAAGACCGCATTTGAAGCTAGCACTACCAAGTATGAGACCGACTTCAGTGTATGGGAGCAGGCGGATGCGGAAGTTATTAGGGTTTTCATCACCACCACTCCGGTTGAACTTGTCAAGTCCTACCGCACTTTCCGCTCCGCGCATGACATTTGGAAGTACCTCCAGGACCGTTTCCATGACAAGACCGCAGTAGGTGTTGCCATCCTCATCCCCTGCATGCTCCAGGTCCGCCTCGAGAAATGCCCGGGCATGGTGGACTACATCTCTGAAATCCGCAACATCCATGAGGAACTCAAGGACATTGGGATCACTTTCCCCGAACAGGCACCTGCAGCTAGGCTACGTGTAGGACTCACCCCGGCCTACAACGTTACCAGTTCCATGCTCAAGCAGCTCCCCACCAAGGAACTCAGTTTCGAGAAAGTCGCATCGGCCCTCCTCCCTGCTGAAAAGGACCTTGCGGCACAAGCATCCGTCAATGCTGTGCACTACACCCCTGGTATCCCATTCCGCTCCCAACAGGGACCAAGGCGCAACTCGTTTCCCCCATGCCCTTACATCATTAGGAAGGGTCCACGTGCAGGGCAGAAATGTGGAAGCATCAACCACCCTGAGGAAACTTGCTTCAAGAAGCGAGATGACGAGTGGTGTGACGTCCACGGTGTCTCCACCAACAAGCGTCCTCCTAACTAGGCCTCACCTCGTCGCATGAACTAGGTCGAGGCAGTGGAGGAACCTGCTCAGGCACTTGCTAACGCCCCATCTGATGTTCGCCTCAATCTGTTGTTCTCTGGTGCTGGTATTATTAATGAGAAGGGGTCGCAGTACATCAGTGTTTCAAACACACAGGAGATCGAGTTCATACTAGACTGTGGTGCCACCCACACAGTGCTCAAAGACCAAACCGCATTCGTTCATTACCAAGCTCCCACCCCACTCCTTGGAGCAGATTCTAGCTTCTCCATCCAATGTCATGGGTCCTCCACAATTCCTTGTCCAGCATTCCCATCCGGCACAGTCACTGGCATCTGTGCCTCAACCCTCCGCTACAACCTCCTTGCACAGCGTGAAATCCAACATGCAGGAGTGATCACCATCTTTCCTAATAATGTCGACTATTGTGACCTCTTTGACGCCAAAACCGGCATTCATCTAGCCCGCTTCACCCTCAACTCCAAGAATCTCTACATGCTCCTTGTACCTCCCATTCAAACGTGCTCATTCCCCCACCTTCCGCTCCTTTCCTCGTACTCCTCCACCTGTCACTGCCGTCTCCTTTCCGACAAAACCATGCTCTTTCATCACCACCTCGGCCACATCAACTTCCGCGCGCTTTCGGACCTTGCCACAAAACAGCTCCTCCACGGACTTCCAGCCTCACTTCCCTCTCCTACCTCCAACCTAGGGCCGCCTTGCCTTGACTGTGCACAGAGCAAGCTTCGTGAACAGCCCCATCCCCCCACTGAGTCCATCTCAACTGCTCCTCTCGATCGCGTGCACATGGACCTTAGGTGTCCAGCTCCTGTTCGTTCTCGTGGCGGACACTACTACTTTCTTGTCATCATTGATGACTATTCCCGCTATGTGTCTGTCCACCTCCTCTCCTCCAAGTCTGAAGCCCCAACCGTCATCATTGAATGGGCCAAGCAGGCTCATAAACACTTCAAAACCACCATCAAGGTTCTTCACTCTGACGGTGGCGGTGAATCCCGCAACAACATTCTCAAAGCTTTCTATTCCACTGAGGATATCCTGTCAACAGGAGCGTTGTAAAGGCCCGTCCCACTTGGGCGGAGCCAACCTTGTGGTCGGATGTGCGGGGGCTGCAGCCGACCTGCAGCAGTGGGCACGGGGGCCACTGCAAGGGCGCCGAGCAGGAGGACGCCGCCCTGGACGCCTGGTTGGCATCCCGGACACCTGGACGGCGTCCTGGAAAGCTGGACGCCGAGCTGTGCGTCGCCACGACTACCCGGGCGCCTGGTCGACGTCGTCGGCGCCTGCACGACCCTCTGGAAGGCCAGACGCCGACCTAGGCATCTGCACGGCGTCCTGGGAGGAGGGACGCCGCTCTGGAGGTTTGGTCGGCGTCCTGGGCGTCTGGACGCCAACCTGGGGGTTCGGAAGGCGACGCCGACCTGGACGCCGACCTGGGACATGCGTGGCCGACTGCGGACTGCGTGGGTAGACCAGGCGTGGTTGCCCGGTCGATCGGGATACCCGGGCGACGTGCGCGGGTGTCGCCAGGGTGGAGTCTGCGAGGCCGACCTCGGGGGTGGTATCCCGATGTCGACGTGGCTGGTGGGCGCGGTCGCTGGCGTGGAGTCTGCCAGGCGTCTGCGCTGTGCACGTGACAGGGACGTGCGCACCAACTAGCTGCGCGCACCTGTGAAACAGGTGCACCGCTGTCCTGCGGGTGCAGCGCTGTACAGCCGACTTGCTGCAGCGCTGGCACACCGTGGACTTGCAACGTTGGCGAACCGCTACTCTGCAACGCTGGAGCGGTACGAGCGCTGCTGCGCTGGAGCGCGGTCGACCGTGCTGCGCTGGAGGTCGACCAGCCGCCTAGCTAGCACTGATGTAGTCTGTGATGCCAATGTTGTTGCTATCATTGTTGTCATGTTTTCCTAGTGAAACTCTTGCCAATTCTCCCCGTGAACTAGCAAGCAGCGTGAACACAAGGAAACGACTAAGTGAACGAACGCAGAGATCACACGAGCACACGTGCCTAGCCCGTAGCCTAGCTCCCGTTGCTGCAGTTATCTCCGCATGGTGCGGTGAGCGTGGACGGCACCGCGACGTAGTTCAGTCTAGCCGACTTAGCACATACCGATCGTGTTCGTAGACTGGCAGCCGTGCAGTCACTAGCGTGCGCGTAGGCGACGCCGAGGTGATGGACACCCTGGAGGGACGGCTGGAGGATGCGAGGAGACGCCATGAGGCCCAGGAGTATGGGGCGATACCCTGGGCAATCGTCGAAGCTGGACTGCGCTCCGTGTGGGCGGCGGAGCACCCCCCTTCTCGACCTGCCTCTCTCGACCGATGAACAACGACGGCGGCGTCGACGTGGGCGTCAACGCCGGTGGAGGTCAGGTCGGCAGCAGTGCGGGAGGCACGTCGAGGCAGAGAGGTGTGATACACGCCGGTGAAGTCGGCGGCGTTCAGGGGCAAGGGATGCAGTCGTCGGCGGGTGCAGGCTCTTCGCAGTGTGACGTCGGAGGTCGACGGAGTGGGCTGTCGCCGATGTCGGCGACCCAGGTGACGGCGGGCGGGATTGCACCGAGCTACGGCTACTTCAAGTTTACGCCGGACAGGATCTCGTTCACCCCGCCGCAGCGCCGCTCGTTGGTCGACCCGACATTCTCACCTGGAAGGAGGCTATCGAGCCCCAGCTGGAGATGGCCGGGATGATCGGCTTCGCCCGAGGGACCGTGGCGACGCCGGATGAGCACCACCCCGACTTGCGGGCGGAGTTTCGCGCTGTGCAGCTGTTGACCTTCACGGTCATCTCGCGGTGCTGCTCGCCGGGCGTGCACATCGCCTTGAAGTGGTGCCGGGAGTACATCGACGCCGGCCACCGGGCGTAGCACTTCATTGAGTCGACGTACCAGGTCACCGACGACCTGTTCATCGCCCAGCTGGAGGGACAGCTGACGCACCTGCGTATGGGTGACGAGGAGACAGCGACTGACTACTGCAACCGAGCCCGGCAAATTCTCGCCACTATCAGGATGGCCGGCGCGCAGTACTCCATGGCGTCGTACAT